GCAACATGACAGCACTAAATACCTAAATGGGGGAACAGAAACTGATATGGGGGCAAACCAAAAAACCGGAAAATCCAAAAATATAAGAGTTTAAGCTATTTAAAGCATTAATATTAAGTTGAGTTGAATTTCATCAATAACTAGTCGAAATTCGCAATAATAATTCTTATTACTAAATCTGTTTTTGTTTTTGGGGTAACAATTGCAAGTAATTTTTGTACTTCTCAGATTTAATGCTATTCTAGCAACCGTAAAACTTCTGCTTGAAAACGGTAGCAAATAATATGATTTTGCCATTGCACACACAATATCCTGTTAGATGATCTATGTATTTAATAGCTTGATCAAGTCTTTAATATTCCAGCTTTAAATTGTTTTTCAAACTATTAAGATTTCATCACTTTTGATCTGTCAATTTACCGCTCTGCCACTTTAACTATACAATTATATTGATGCAACCATTTGACAACGAGTTTAATTGAGTCAACTCCGCAAAACAGATTATAATAAATTGCATAAATTGTGATCTTTTAATGTAGCCACTTCCTCAGCTGCCGCTACTTTGGGGGCGCCGCAAAATTCAACACCGCTAACCGTTCATTATAGCAAACAAAATGCTATAATTAACTAATACTCTGTAGCGATTTAAATGAGCATGCATGGCAAATGTCAATTATTAAAGTTATTCTTTAAAGCATAAATGGCATATATGTAAATATTAATACGCACATGATTGATTCGGTCTGCCGGCCTAGTTTACGTTTTACATTGTCAGCTGTTGTTGGTAATAAGCTAACTGTAATGTACTCCTAGAGTACAGGGTATCTCAGAGACAAGACAATTTCCTACGATGAGTTAACATTCGTTTAATTTATGGAGCGCACGAAAACAATCAAGACTCTCGCAACTTGTGACTTGAGAACTGTGACTATTATGACGCTCCAGCGTCGAGTTCGATCAAAGAAAGCATAAATAATGCCACGGCAACAGGAGTGGGAACTGGGTACTATGCCCCACTATAGACTGGGGCAACTGGTTGATGTTGGCTGGCAGGACCAGTAACCAGGCCTGGCCAAAACAGAAAATGTATGCAAACGGGTTAATTAACTACGAAAATTTCGACCGTTGCGCTACGTGAGTCTATTAAAAAGGAAGAGAAAAAAAAACAGCAGAAACACAACCGGGTGGTCGATACCTGCCTCTCTGCCTGGCTGTCTGTAAGCACCTATAGCTTACTGTCTCTAACACTCCTTCTCCCCCTATTTGTCTCCATTGTAATATAGGTCAGCGGTGGGCGGCTAACGAGACAAAAGTAACAACAACAACAACAAATGCTGTAAACGCATTACGCCTGCAGTTACTAACTGAATAAGCGGCTGCCGTTGGCCAACTTGCATTTTGACATTTCAAATGTCAACTTACACATAAATCTTGTCAATGCAGAGTCGTTCACTCACTCACTCACTCAGTCAGTCAGTCAGTCAGCAAGTCTGTCAGTCAGTCAGTCAGTCAGTCATTCACTCAAACGGTCACTGCTTTGCCACAAGATTGTTATCGATCTTGCCTACAATGCTTAATTGCCGTTTGATTTCGCACACAATCTACCTGAATCTAATGTGTTTTAAATTGAGCATTACTTCCAGTTGCAAATGCTCAATGCTCTTTCTAACCGGTAGACTTAGACTATTTTGTAACTATTTTTAATTATAATTTAATATTAGCATCAGTCTTTAGTTGAATGCTGTAATCAATCAGTGCTGATGAAATTACTAACAAATTGTTTAAAAATACATACATATAAAGTATTAAATTTGTCGGGTTAGTTAATCTTTAATCTTTATTAGTCTACTTTATTCTAGTCATATTTTTATTTTTGTTTAGTAAATGTTATCTTGATTTAGTTTCTTCATATTAAAAGTATATTGAGCTTATATTATTATAGCGTATTTAAAGTTCGAAAATACATTTATATTTTTCTTGGCATCTTTGGTATCTGTAAAATTTATTTATTCTTTTTTTTTTTTTTTTGGTTGCTGATTGGAGATTTATGATAATTGATTGACCGCGTTGGCGCGAGTTTCTTTGGCAATCAGCACATTGCGCATACGCAGCGGTGTCTGGCCGCAACTGGTCACAGAATAAATCATTTAATCAATATTTTGTCATGTCCAAAGTGAAAAACTGCATGGCAGCAAAACACGTGCTCCACATTTAAGGCACAATGCCGCAAATTATACACAACTATTCTTTTTTTTCGCATAGTTTGTTTGTACATTTTGGCTGCTGAATGTGGACTACTGTCAATTCTTCGTCATGTTCACTTATGAGCTTTTCATATTGTTTAATTGTTAATTTATTGCACGCTCTGGTGATTTGTGGCTGTGTTAAATGTTAACAATTTTCTGATCTTGTTTGGTGTTTTTGATGGATAGTTCTAAGGCTTAAGGCCAATATCAAGGTGTGTAACCTTAATGAAAATGTTTTTCAACTCAATTCTTAAAGCCTGCTTTATTTTTCGATTCAAAAACTAGTCTATTATGATTATTACAAAAGTTAAATAGTTTTTAAAGATGATTTTGAGTACTAAAAAAACGAATTTTGCAAAGATTCAAATTGCCAATTAACAATAAGCCAATGCCTTGTCTACCAATCCATCAAATATAGGAGAAAAAAAAACGCTTTACGCACATTCGCATAAAGCACACCGTTAAACGAACGGAAGTGCACTTTAACTGCCCACCAGAGTTAGCCCACACCACAGCACACACCAACTAGATCTGACCATACAAGTTGTGGAACCAAATTTGGAAGCAAAGCACAACCAAAGTCGAAAACAAAACGCGCTCATTAATAAAACGCAAACAAAGAATATAGTCAATAAAATTGAGAGAAACCGACAGCAACAGCAACAGCAACAACAACTGATGAAAGACCCACGCAACAAACAGATTCAAACAAACATTGCCAGATCGCAGACAGCAAAGTACAGACAGTGCAAGATCTGTGGGTGTTGTGAGTGCTGCGAGTGTTGTGGCAGTGCAGCGCCTCTCAAACTGTAGCATGACAAACGCATTTCTGAAGCACAGAGTCGTGATGCCCCATTGTAAACTTTAATGACATCATTTGCTCAGCAGCCGCAGCATCATCAGCCGAAGAGGGGTCGTCAATGGCGTCAGTTGATTGAACCTTTTATTGGTTGCTTGTCTGAGAGGTGGCAAAACACAACAACAACAACAACAACAACTACAAACAAACAACACCACTAAAACCTTTCTCTTGAGATGTTTTTCTTGCTGTGAGCTTACGACAGCACTCGCTGTTTCATTCATGAAAATGCAAATCCCAAACAGGCACTTGACAGCTGTGCAGCCGCCAGTGAGAGAGCCTCCACAGTCAGTCCGCGTCTTAGCCAAGTGAGGCTTGAGGCGCTGCTGCTGACTGTTGCCAGTTGCCAGTTGCCATTTGCCAGTTGCCTACTCTTCCAGCGAATGCTCCACGAACTGTTCCACCACTACTATCTCCTCGTGTCGCGTGCTAGAGCATGTTCATATTTCTCTACATTTATTTTGCATACGCCTGACTTCAGTTTGGGTATTATAAACAAGCTATAAAGCTTGTAACCGTAACATATATTTTTATTTAAAACAATGCATCCAAAACTATTTATCACTTCAATAAAACATTAAAATTACTTTTATTTAGTTTAAAATGATAGACCTTTGAAATGTAGCTCAGAGATATTTAAATTTGAAATTTATAAAATAAATAAAAATAGAAACTAACAAATTCTAAGCAACTTCCTCAGTGTCAATTTTTTCCTGGTATAAATCCATAAATATTTAAAGTTAGGAAAATAAAAAAGTTTATCATTTTTTACAAGTAGTACGTTACTTTTGAGAACATACATTTAATATTTAGAGTACCATTGGAAAATGCAGTTAAGAAAATAATTTATAATAGGCATTAATATCTTAAAAACTCACTTAAGCGTAGTAAAACTTCCGCTAGTTCTTTAATTTGATTTCTGCAGTCTTTATGCATATTTTTGTATGTAAACATTTTTAGTTATTATATTTTTTTTTTTTAGATCGCGCAATCAATTTGAAAACTTTTGCGTTGGTTTTACCGGATTTATGAATGAATTTATTTTCGTATATGCCTGGCAGACTTGTCTGCCGCGTCCATGTGCCTCCCTACCCGCTCCACCCTTTTAGCATCTATTGCGTCCTGCGTAGTTGTTGCATTTGTAGTTTGTCGCCCCGGCGAGGAAACTCTATGCAAATGTGGGCGGTTTGTGGTGCTGCCTACGCGCAACCCACAAAACGGCCAAAACTAGCTGGCGGATCTTTTAGCCAGGCCAACAGTTGTTAATGTTGCTCGTGGTCTTGGCTGCAGTTAGCGGTTATTGCTGTTGCTGCCGCTGCTGCTGCCAATGATGATGATGATGATGACAGTGCCAGACGCACATGTGGCCCAGTAAACAAATTTATAAAAACGGGAAAGAAATTGGACATTCAAGTGACAATAGCCTTGTATTGGCCAATCTGCGACACTATGGCCTATTAATACTCTCACACACGCGATTATTTATTATCAAAAGATAACTTTCAAATATTGAAATTATCCCCAATCATCAAATTTTATTTTGCCCATTGTTATTGGAGTTTCTAAGACATTAGTCGAAGTTTGATCCTTTCCAAAATATGTTTGGCATCAGTAAAGCTTCAAAAATACATTAATAATATACATAATACGATATATTATTTACTTAACATAATTTATGACCTGCCAGCTTGTGTGCAGTAGTAACTGGCTTATATCAAAGTTGGCTAACTAACAACTTGCATTTGAAATAGACTCAGGCAAACGAAAATATAATCTCAATTAATTTGTATGATGCAAAGAGATATAGGCAGATATTATAAGCAGTTTATATGATTTTTAAATTTAAGTTAATAATATTGTGCTTAAATCCGTTCTATTTGGTCTTATCCTTTCAGATTGCCAATGCAGTCCTATTGGCTCGCTGTTAACGGCCTGCGACAAGCGCTCGGGTCAGTGTTCGTGCCTGCTGAATGTGGCTGGTCGTCGCTGCGACAAGTGCAAGGCGGGTCACTGGAATCTGACGCAAGGCGTCGGCTGTCACGACTGTCAGTGCGATCCGCACGGCGCACGCAGTCACGAGTGCAATCCGTGGACGGGTCAATGCGATTGCAAAATTGGAGTTGGTGGACGGCATTGCAATGAGTGCACCGAGGGCTTCTATGGCTTCAGTACGGAGGGCTGTCAACGCTGCTCGGCATGCGCAGCAGAGGGCCAGGTGTGCGATCCACTGAATGGACGTTGTATTTGTCCCAAATTCACGCGAGGATTGGGCTGTGGCCAGTGCGTGCCCGGCACCTGGGGCTGGCAGGCACGTTTAGGTTGTCGCGAATGCGAATGCGATCACATCGGCTCCATTGGGCAGCAGTGTGCCACAGTCGGTGGACAATGCGAGTGCCGCGAGGGCTACGCGGGTCGCAATTGCAACAGCTGTGCCGTCGGCTATTTCGGTTATCCCGAATGCCGGCGCTGCGGCTGCGATGTGGCAGGCTCTTTCAAGCGCGCCGATGGCCTGATTGCCTGCGATTCGAATGGCCAGTGTCCGTGCAAATCGCTGGTGGTGGGTCTCAAGTGCGACACGTGCATGCAGAGCACGTTCGGGCTGTCCACGCTGAATCCCGAGGGCTGCACGCGCTGTTTCTGCTTTGGCCGTGCCGCCGAGTGCGAGCAGAGCGAACTCTCCTGGGGCCACATCCGCATGCCGGAGGCACGCAATCTCAGCGTACAGCAGCTGCGACCGCAGCACGTGCCGGGCGCGGATTACGAGTACATTGTGGTTGTCCAAATGGAGGGCAGTGCATCGCACAGCGAAGATGCCGAAATCCAGCACATGAACGATCTGAGCCTGGTGCCACGCTCCACGGGCAACGTCTCGATTGGCGCCTATGCCCAGTTCTATCAGCCGCTGTACTTTCAGCTGCCGCCACAATTCTACGGTGATCGCACCACCAGCTACGGTGGCTTCCTCTACTTCTCACTGCTCACCGAGGGCGCTCACACGCCGCTGGAGCGTAAGGTGCTCGCTCAGTTTCCGCTCGTCCAGCTGCATGCGCATGCCAAGCTGGTGTTGGACTTTTACGAGTACGAGGAGTTCGAATATTCGCTAAATGTGACGCATCGTGTGCCGCTGCATGAGTCCTACTGGAAGTACCATCACAATAGCCAGGCTGTGGATCGAGGAACGCTGATGGCGGCTCTGCAAAATGTTCGTCACATATTTCTGCGCGCCTTCGCCTTTGCCGATTTCCAGCAAGTTGTGTAAGTTTTGCGGTTAAGTCTGTAAATATCAAGTTGAAGTCAGATTTGAAAATTAATTAATATTCAACGTTTATTTCGCTGCACAGCTTACACAGTGTGCACATGGATGCGGCCATATATGTGCAAGGATCCACTAACCTTATGGCCAAGGGCGTCGAGCAATGCAAGTGCCCCAAACGGTTTGATGGGCTCTCGTGCCAGGATCCGGGACGCTCCTTTTACCGTTGGCGCAACACAACCGATGTGGAAAGTGTGTTCATTGAGGATCTGATTGGACGCGCTGCGCCTTGCCACTGCAATGGACGTAGCAATGATTGCGATCGCGAAACTGGCGTTTGTTCGGTAAGGCAAAAACCAACACAATTAACCCAAACATAAAATAACACAAACTACACAAAAAAAATAAAATAAATCGAAAATCGCGCCATTATTCGCCACATTGCTGCCATTTTATCTGCTCGTTCCCAATTAGCTTTGAACTGGTTCGTGTGAACTCGAGCTTAGAAACTGATCCCATTATGATTGGTATGCAGCTGGCGCGCCCAATAAGAGCAAGCACACAACTGAGTATATTTTACAAATATGTGTAATTCGTTTGTATTCGCCTCCAATTAAACTATGCCCACAAATCATTTATCAATTTGAAAACTTAAATTAATAAATGGTTCTGGCATGCTTAAATTATTACATCAATTAACAGCTTACCAAATCTGCAAAGTGTGAACGAACTAATGCACATTTTGAGAATTTTTCAACACTGATTTTGGCGTTTGCAGCTATATACTCGTAGTAAACAAATTTCTCTCTTTAGAATTGTCGTGAGAATAGCGGCGGCGCACATTGCCAGCACTGCGCCGATGGCTACTATGGGGATCCCAACTCGCGACATGGCTGCCAGGCGTGCCCGTGTCCCGAAACCAATCGAAACTTTGCGCGCGGCTGCAACGTGTGGGAGGGCGAGGTGAGCTGCGTCTGCAAACCGGGCTACACGGGCCGCCTCTGCGAACGCTGCCGCTTGGGTTTCTTTGGCCATCCGATGCAGTATCCAAACAGCAGTTGCCAGGCCTGCAACTGCAATCCGGATGGCATACGTGCAGAGGGCTGCGACGCGGATACGGGTCAGTGCCAGTGCCGCGAAGGCGTCACAGGACTCAAATGCAACAAATGCGAGGCAGAACGGCATCATCTGGTGGAGAATGGCTGCCAACGTAAGTGTTTACATATTAAGAACTTTTAAGTTGTCATTAATATACGTAACTGTTTAATTCGAAGTTTGCGATAATTGCACTTTACTGCTGCTGGACTATGTGGAGCTGGTGGGCCATAAGCTGCGCCGTGGGCTGCACAATATGGATCTGACTGGCATACCGGCACCTTATCTTAAATTATCCGAGTACGAGCAGGCCTATGAAGTGTGGCGGGCGCGCCAGCAGGACTACAGTCAGGCGAAGCAGCTGCTGCTTGGCTACGATACGGCAGCGCTGCTCAAACTGGATGCGCATGCGGAGAATGGGAAATTTCAGTCGCGCAAAGCGCTGGCCATCATTGGCAAACGTCATTATGCGCTCACTTCGATGCAGGATGCTGCTTTAGTGCTCCGCCAGAATGTGGGCACGCTACAAACGGAGCTGAGGCAAACACTTTATGACCTACACAATTATGGCCGGGGTGCACAGCATCTGAGTCTGCCCACGGCGCTGAAAGAGGCACGCTTCTATCTGCAGGCCATTCAACAGCATCATCAGCTGGTGCAGGATATTCGGAGCACCAGCGACTGCGCCTGGCAGCACTTCTACTCCACGGGCAATGCCTCGGATGCGGCCTACGATCAGCGCGCTCGCCTGGAGATGTTCTGGCGGGATCTGAATCAGACGAATTATCGCGTGACAGACATGCGTCTGCAGATCGATCGCACCCAGGATGTGGAGAGCGAAGCGGACGATGTGCTCGAGCATGTGCGCAATTTGAGCGGCCATGTGGGCGAACAATATCAGCAACTGACTGAGCTTGGCCAGCGCATAGAGCACCACCTGAATCGAGATTATGTGGAGCGTGGCGAGCAAATGTGGCAAACTGCACAGCAGCATCAGTCCCAGCTCAACGAGCAGCGCCAGCAGTTAACTACCTCAGCTGATCTCCTGAACAGAACACTCATCGATCAGTTGGAGCTCCAGCGCCAGGTGCGCAAACACTGGCTGCCTAAGGCGCAGAAGCATGCGGCACGTCTGCTCGAGCGCTCCAATGAGTATGCCAGGCAGTTTCAGCCAACAAGGAATGCGGCACGCATTGCCATGTTGGCCAGGTAAGTGGCAAATGCCATATGCAAGATTAAAAACATATTTTTGAAAGATTCAAAGTGTAAAAATCGCTTTGTCTGATATTAAAAATCGCAAATGTTTTCAATTGAGTTCGATCTTGAGTTTTATAATTCGAATAAATAACTTGTTTTAGAACTTTTAAATTCCTCTTAAGTAATAATGTAAATGAATCGATGAGATAACTGATTAAACAGTTGTAAATATGACCAGCAATATCACAGCTTGATAAAGAAAGCGAAGAAAGGAGAAGATTTAAAAATTCAAATATACTCTTCTACCCTCGTTAATAGAGTATACAACTTTCATCAAAATTCCAGCAAATATTGAAAATTCAACCGAAAAACCTCTCAAATTTACAGTCAACTAAACTTGTTTGCTAATGACTTTTGAAATATATAATAAATATATGTAAATAGTGTTTAATAAAATGAATTTTATCTTAATTTAGCAAGACTTAAAAGGTTTAGTTAAACTCGACGTTTTTATTGCTGTGAATAAAATTCAAATATCGATTTTGTATTTCAGCTCTGCACACAGCAATATTTCCACAGCGATTGCAAATGCTCGTCAAGCTTCGCAGCTGTCCAAGGAGCGCGTCTATGAGGCCCATCAGACTCTGTACCCCAGTGATGGCAGCTCGATGATTGAGCGCGCCAAGCACTCGCTGCATCGCTCCAAGCAGTTGCAGCGCGAGGCACTGCAGCAAATGCAAAAATCCACTGTACTGAAGGCGAAGCTGCAGCACCAGGAGCAGCAGGTGGAGGGCATCAAGCGCACCATTTTCGAGACGGGTCAGCGCAGCAATAATATCACCAGTCAGCTACAATTGCTGACCAACAGCTCGGCGCGTCGTCATGCCCAGGACAGCATGGAGCTGGCACAGCGGACAAGCGATGAGATGCATGCGGAGACGAGGCAGGCACGCGAAATGCAACAATCCATTCGGCATATGCGCAAATCGTTTGCCATGCTGGAGCCCGACTGGGAGATCAAGCTGGGCATGGCCGAGGAGAACATCTCACTGACCAAAACGAATCTGCGGCTGGCCAACGTTTCGCTTAGCTACGTGGAGCAGAAGGCGGTCAAGGAGCAGCAGGTCTTTGAGGTCTGGAACAATAGCATGGCTGACCAGCTGCAGCAACTCAGGGATCAAATAGCCAAGGCCAGGCATGCGGCTGAAGCGGTAAGCGCGAATCGAATATAGACATGTATCCCAAAACTAAAATCACTTCTCCCCCTTCGTAGATTGACGTCTCGCTGGAATCGCTGGGACCCAAATGCAGTCGCAGCTATTTGCCTGTCTCCTATGGGCTGAGCACATCGAACTCTTTGCGCTTGAGCTTTGCGCTCTCGAATCACATGGGCAACTCACCGCTGGTGCATGTCCAGGGCAGCGAGGGACGACACATCACCCTGGAGCTGTACAAGCGACGAGTGCGTCTGGTTTGGCATCTGGGCGGCAGCACAGCGACCATAACACATCCTCTGGAAGTGCAGACTCGTGACCCGAAATTCGATGATGCCTGGTACCAAGTGGAGGCGAATCGCACACTGAATCTGGGCAGTTTGCTGGTGCGGCGCATGAACAACTTTGGCGCACTGACGCCCGGCTCACCAGTAACCGGATCCACAGATGCGGAACACACGCGCTTCTACCAGACGCATAATGAGCGTGTTTCACTTGGCGGCTTTTCAACTAAAGATCAAACACCTGGTTTGAATGTCGTTGTGCATCAGGTGGAGGTGGACAACAAGCCGTTGGGCCTGTGGAACTTTGTGGGCAGCGAGGGACGTTGCGGTGGCGCCATGATTGGCGCACGGGAATCATCCGCATCCTCGATGTCGCGTCACTTCAATGGCTTGGGCTATGCACAGCTGAAGAAGACGCGTTCGCGTCCCTATCGCAAGAATCTATTTGCACTGCAGATGACTTTCCGCACGCTGGACGAGAATGCGTTGCTCTTCCTGGCGGTTGATGACATAAACGTGAGCAGCGATGCCCAGCGCAACTTGGAGCTCTTAATCATTTGACATACTCTCTTTTAGAACCGCTCGGTGTCTGTGACTTTGAGTCGCGGTCGCATCATGTTCCGCATTGACTACGGCGACGAGTCCAAGCTGGAGATTAATACAACCAAAAAGTACAACACGGGCCAATGGATCAAAATTGAAGGAGCTCGCGAATTCTCCGCTCGACGCAGCACGGAGAATGGCATGTTGCGCGTTAACAACGATCGCGCCATCTCCGGCGCACCCACATTGCCGGTTAAGAGCCACATGCTTCCAGATCTATCCAAGGCAGTGTATTATCTAGGCGGTGTGCCACCAGGTGAGTAGTTCCAGCCATGTTGCTGAAAGGAAATTGCAGTCCTTTTCGAGTCTCCTTGCTGACTTTCTGTCTTCATCGAGGTTTTTCACACCAAACACTTTATTGGCTATTCAACAGGTTTTACTTCGGGCACGACAAAAGCGCCTGGTGCCGACAATCCCTTCCTGGGCTGCATGATGGATGTGCAAGTAAATGGCGAGACCTACGATCCGCTCGAGAGTTCCACGTACTTTGGCGTGGAGCCCTCGTGTAAAGACATGATCACAAAGTAAGTAAATATTTGATTCACATCAAATATGCCTTTATATCTTTATCCATTTCACAGAGCTGGCTTTTCGGGCAATGGTTATCTCGAACTACCCTCGCAGTCGCTGCGAAAACGCGCCAACACTGGTCTGGTCTTCCGCACGCTGCAATCTGATTGTTTGCTATTGCTAGCCGCTTATCCACCTGAAGTGCTGGCCGACTATGATGCCAAGGACATCAAGGGCAACTACTCGATGAGCCTGGTCGATGGCCAGCTGCAGGTGTGGATCAATTCGGGACGCAGTTTTATCAAGATGTTCTCCAATGCCAGCCAGTTGAACGATGGCGAACTGCATGTCATCAATCTGATCAAGACGGGACGCCGACTGGAGCTGATGGTGGACGATGAGCAGCAGGAAGTGCGCACTCTGACAGGCACACCCTCACTTATCAGTCTGCCACAGGATGCTGGTGGTCTTTATATAGGCGGCGCACCGCCGCACGAAATTTACACGCCTCTGGCACCCACTTTTGTTAAGCTGGAGGGCGCTGTGCGGGATGTGGTGTTCAACAATCGTACGATTAATTTCAATGATGCTTTGACCTTTAACAATGTGCAGATTGGACGCAATGGTCCAGCGATGGGCAGCCTCAATGGCAGTCTCTACGATGTGCTGCTGAAGACGGAGCCGATGATTGGCAAGAGTTTTACCGCCTCGCCGGAGGGCTGCAAGCGGGTAAGTTGCTGTTGCAATTTGTAATGCTTGGTCTGGGCTTCAAGTTTGTGGAGGGGCTGGGGTCGGAAGAGGGGAGGGGGGTGGGGTTCAGGGTTCAACGGAGAGATGCATGTAAATACATTTTTTTGTGGCTGCCTAACTCTCAAACTCTCTGATCGACTTAAATGTTTCTCTTTGTTTTTATAGGATTTTAGTTGCTAAGCAATTATGTCAAAAGCTGCTACGCTAAAAGCTTCAAGCGCTGCGCTGCAAGAAAGCTCTTTTGTATACTAATTTCGCCTAAAAAAAAAGCTTACTAAACATAGCTATTCAATGTGGTCTACATGTGGATTAATCATACAAATCAATCATCATATTAACCAAAAGTTTCCATTCGTGCGAGCTTTTAAGCTTTCAAATGATGGAAGCTTCACTAAAAGTTGGCTTACAGTTGGCAGCATTAAGTGCATTGAGTCAATTTTCAACTCCTGTCAGCCAGCTTAAAATATATTTCAGATTTACAATTAATTTTAAGTATCAAAAGCTCTGTGGCGCATCTGGTTAACGTGGTCCTCGACTGACAAAAGCTCCATTTGAATATTAAGTACATTTAACAAACAACACACTTATGTAATGTATATATTTCATATTTTCATATATCTTATGTATATCTTAAGCCAACAAGCTCAATTTTAGTCAATAAGCATCAATATCATCAATTCAAATTTGACATTTCAACTTTTTTACACACATTATTCACTCATCAACGCTTTGTGTATGTTTTTGCTTTCATTGATGTATCATACAAATAACTACTTTCTTTTTCTTCGACTTGTTATCACACTTTGCGTTTTAAATAAAAAAAAAATCAAAAACAAAAAATACATTTTTTTAACAAAAAAATATATATACAAAAATCATGCCAACGTTTTTATTTTTTAACCTCACTAAAAAAAAAGCGCACGCTGAGAAAGCTCGCTCACAAAAGCTCAGAACTAACACAAAGTCGTCGTGGTGAGTTAAGTTCCCGTTTGACTTAAGCCAGCGCTAAGATTAATCCATATACTTTCTTACAGATCGGCAGCTACTCCTACGAGCCAAATGCTTTCAAATTTGGCGATGAGCTTTACAGCTACTCGCAGCTAAAGCTGCCGGAACGCCACTTCTGGCAGCGCAACTTTTATCTGAGCTTCGACTTCCGCTCGTTTTATCCGAACGGAATGCTCTACCTATCACCAGGCAGCAAGGAGAAGCCCAAGCATTATGTTGCCCTCCTGCTCAAGGATGGCCAACTGGTGCTCATTGTGCGCGGACGTCGACGGGAGGAGTTGCAGTTGACGGCCAAGCTGAACGATGGTGAATGGCATCGGGTCACAGTTGGCTGCCACGAGCGGAAAGTCACCATGAGCGTGGAAATCGGACGCACAGATCAAAAGACATCCGCACAAATGAAGGTGCCCAAAAAGATAGGCACCTCACAGCTTCTGCTCGTGGGTGGTTTGCCCCAGGCACCTGTTAAGGTGCCCTCGGAGCTGTATATCCGCTTGGAGGCATTCAAGGGATGCCTGCGTCGCGTCAACATTAACAATAGCACACAGGACCTGGCACGTCCAGGCAAGCACGCGAATGTGGGCCAATGTTTTCCCACCGTAGAACGAGGCAGCTACTTCCCTGGAGATGCCTATGCCGTATACAGTGAGTGACTTAATGCTGATAATATAAGATATTTATATACTTGTTGAGGTGTTAACTGACTGACTGGTTATTGGTTAAAGTCGTTGACTAAAGATAATTTCTATACTCTGATGTAATACCGAAGTCTTAACCTGAATTTCGAGCCAGAATCGTGCTTCCTACTTTAAATGGATCTTTAAATTTATCTTGGAGCGCAATTCATGAATTAAAAGCCCTGGTTTTCAAAAATCTGATCACTTTTGCTAAAGTTATAACTCTGGAAAGTTGCCAACTGTTATCAGCTGACATCAGAGTATTCCCCAATCCAAACACTCTTAATCGTTAATATTGTTTTCGTCTTTCTGCTTGCAGAGAAAAACTTTCATGTGGCCAAATATTTGGAACTGGAAATGGAATTTCGCACCTCTGAGCTATCGGGCATATTGCTGAGCGTCTCCGAGCCCAGCGGCTTTCCCGCACTCTCGCTGGAGATCAACAATGGCAATGTGAGTGCTTAACTCAATTCAAATTTACAATATATACCCAAATAATATCTGCTGCTGTTTTACAGATCGTTTTCTCTTGTGATCTGGGCGATGGCGTGCCGTTCCGCGTGAAGTCAACGCTGCCCGGCAAGTATGCGCTCTGCGACAATAAATGGCATAATATATCGGCGCTCTATGATGGTGAGCAGGTCGCGCTGAGAATTGATCAGCTGCCGGCTACGATCAGCATGTCGAATCAGCGGAATGCGGGCAAAGTGCAGACACGTTCGCCCCTCTACATCGGCGGATTGCCAGGTAGATTTCGAGAACAAATTCGAATCCTTATGCATTATATGTTGATGGTTTTCCATTGGTTTGTTGTAGATATCGCAGCCAGCGGCTGTTTGCTCGCACGTGAGAATTTCAAGGGCTGCATACGCAATGTGTCCATACGCAATGAGAGACGCGATTGGATCGATATGGATGATCTGCACAATGTGCTGCTCAGCGAGTGTCTCGTGTCCAGCAATGATAACTGATCGCAGGACATGGGGGCGTTCTCTGGTTCCTGTTGACGCCACACCAAAACTTTTTCCAAATGTATTGTGATCAATTATGAGTTTTATATGATAGCGATAGACTTAGATAACGTCCAATAAGTAGCATATCACTGCCATATAAGTAATATTAATTTAGCAATACGATAAAACTGAAAGCTTATTTTATTTCATTGCCAGTGACTGCATTTTAATATCCTACATGTCTGTATTTATTTAATTCTTAACTTATTTTGTTTTTATTATTTTAAAGAGGCTTTAAGTTGGCAAATTTGATTTTTTTACATTTTATTTGCAATCTTTATGAATCTCCCATTTGTACATTACTTATGCATATCTACACACATATATATAGAATTATTATTAGCTGTATTTAATTATTTGCATTTGTATATAACAGCCATTTAGTGTTTAGTTCTATATATATATCAATATATGTATACTTAATATTATATACCGACTTAATGTTCAAATAATTCATTTAAATAAACTACTTTTTATTAAAAAATAAATTGTGTGTCAATCAATTCTCTCTGAGAGTTTTAGATCAGAATTAATTTTTAGAGTTGGACTTATATTTTCGACACGTGAAACAAAAACACAACAAGCATTATGAGTATTAGAAGCGCTAGGAAAAGCACTATTAATGGTCGTCGCAGCAGCCGGAAAAGCCATAACAAACATCCAAGTGCTGCAAACAAATATGATATTTACTGCATCAACTTCCATGATAATGGGCTAAATGCTGTGCGGGACGAGTTAATCAAGCAGATAAAGATTGGCCTGCGACGCTGCATGTTTGTTATCGATTTGGACAATGAGTTAAATGAGGCCCACATTGCCAACGAGCACAACCAGCGCTTAACAAGCAAGTTGAGGAGTCAGGGTAAAAAAAAATATGAATATATATACATATATATCCACATATTGATCGATTTGAATTGAAGATTTGCCCACGGATCGTATGGAAATAACGCTGCTGCGCATACAGAATATCTTGGCTGAATATGAACTTGTTTCCCGCAAAATTGAGGCGGAGATCAGCTTTAATCTCCTCAAGTATTATCAGAAGAACAATCCCGCTCAACTAAAGATACGTGCAATCGATGCCAAAAAGATCAAGGCAAATGTTTCGGAATCCAAAGGTGGCCAGATTTCATCCAAGGGCAAATCCGATAATGCAATGGAAAAGATAACTTGCTTTGAGGTTCACTCGAAGGAGCACCACAAAGTGGGCAAGGGTCAATTACTGTCCAAGCGCTTGGTAATTTATACACTCATAATTCATATATAATCTAAATCTTTATGCTCTCGCAGTATATAAAAGATGAACCGTCGAACACCTCAATTCTTATAGTCATCATTGGTAATTTGCACAATGATTTCTACATGGAGCTGCTCAAGTAAGTAATTTGCGAATTCCCCGATTTACAATGGTTATATTGATTGAAGGGGGTCCCATTTTGTTAAGTAGATCCCAGAAATTATATCTATAATAATTATAGTAAATTCTAGCTCAAAATTCGTGTTAAAATCCAATTCATAAAAGTTCTTTAGGCAGAGTCAAACATTTCCAGAGTCAACAATATGTTAAAAGTGACCCGATTTGACCCTTAGATTAATCCTGCTTTGAAAGACTTTATGATTTCCCACTTGGGAATGGTTAATCTTCAAATTAATCAGTCTCGATTAAAAAAGTGTCACTTGCTTCCCTCCAGCAAAGGTCTACCCTTGAGTGGTGTTGCACACTTCCTGCCCGAGGATTCAGCATATGATCTGCTCGTGCCACGTCCACGGCGCAAAAAACTCCTGCAGGAGACCATTGAGAAAATCCAAAGTGACATTAAATCGTTGCGCAAGCGTGTGGCTACCAAACCAGTGGGCATTTTCCAGGAGCGGCTGCCTCAGATGTCCACTTGCCAGGCAGTCAAATACTCGAGGCAAATATTTGATCAGCTCTCCTGGTTTGTGTACGATATGCAGATGTTGCGGGAACAGTATGAGGAGTACTATGTGAAGCCATATCACGAGATCAATGTCAAGATGAGCCTGGATACCAGCATGCATGGCAGCTATCAGCTGGCCAAGTCGCTGAACAAACGTGGCCACTATCTGAAAGATGAGATGCCGATGGCTAGCAGCGATGATGCCTCAATCCATTTATATTTGGAATCATTGCTGTCCAACTTCGGTATGCCCCGGGAGCTGTTGACCGAGTTGGAGGTGCTGCTGCTGGCGAATCCATCGTCGCTCATACAAACCAAAGTGCTGGACAAGATTAAGGTCTATGCGAATGCCTTCAAGAGCATCATCAAGCTGACGAAGAGCGAGTGCTTGTTTGTGGAGCAGGCGAATACGCTGCTCTCCAGCCTCATTGGCTACATGGATCAGAAACTGTCGCGTGACATTTACTATGCATGCCTGGAATACAACATATTGCGGCGATACTTCAACATGGGCTATATCATCGATAAGCTTCACTATACGCCCAACTCCTCCGAAGACATTGAGCCCCAACATCTGCCCAAGTTCGGCAAGCTATATCTGACTGCTGATGCGGTCACTCAGCGCATTCTGCAGCTAATCGATGAGCATGAGAACTATAAGATCCGCGAGATATATCCAAGTGTCAAACTCTACACCTTTAAGCGTGGCCTCAACGAGATCTTCGAGTATCAGAAGCAGATCGTGATACCAACCCGGTTATGTTACAGAGACTTCACTCTCTATGAAATGCAGCAGTTTCTCAAGGACTTGGTCACGCCAGATATGCTTAAGGAGGACACCGACATTGACATTGAGTCGCATCCATTGTCCAAGTATCCCAGCGTATACACGTTGCCCGACTCCGATGTTAATGGCGAATCGCATCCATACAATTGTCGCAGCAATCGACGCTATAGCATAACACCCAGCGTATTTATCCGACCCAAGTCGCTGAAGGCACAAAGGATTCTCGAGCAGCAGCAGGAGCGCGACAAGATGGAGAAAGAGAAGGAGAAGGCTTCGCCGGGCTCAACCTTACGACAGAGCTTGGCTAGCAATAGGACTGGTAACCAAACGGCTCGCAGCACCACAAACCAACTCCAAAAACTTTCCATTGGGCAGACCCAAGCAGAAAATGTTGCTGGCCAAATCAAGCATATTGGGCTGAGACCCAATCATCCACTGCTCACCGGCTATAATCTGGATAATACGCGTCAGACGATCAAGGCGAAGACCTCAAAGTATCACTTTGAGGAGGGTCTGATGACACTCTACGAGGAGAAATGGAATTTCCTGGCGACGAACAAGTGCCTATCCATCGAAGTCGATAAGCAGGTGCTGCACTTGACCAATGCACCGGGTAAAATCAATGCCATCTCGCGGAATATACGCCTGGAAACACCAAATGGGATTAGCCTGAGAGTTGAGCCGGAGGGCGAGGAGTGCGCCAAGGCAGTACTCAATTATCCGAATGGACTCAGTCTCTACTGCCTGGACATGCATGCCGAGCACCTCTGGTCGGATCGGGCGAACGAGCTGAACGAGAGTCGGCGGATCTGTACGCCATATGGTTGTGTGATAGTCTTCTACCAGGGCAACGATACAGTTCTAATCATGCGCTATAATGGCGAGGTATATCGTCTCTATAGCTACATATACCCAGTCGTCGAGGCGGAGGAGGGCGAAGTGGAGACTGAGACGGATTTCATTAATGCCTGCTCCACACTGTCGCAGTACAGCAGTTTCAAGCCGCTGACCAAACACGATGCATCAGTGAAAGATGGGCGCAAAAAAGGCGGTTCGAGGAGGAAAAAAAACTCAAGCTTAAAATCATCGACATCTTCGGGAACGATTGCGGCACGCGCTGCCAAATTGCAGATGCAACAAAAGGCACTGTTGCAGGAGGAGGCACTGTTTGCCAGCATCGATGCGGAGCTGAAGTATTTGGCGTTCATCCTGAAACTGTACGACATCGAATATAAGCATCTGCATCTAACCACATCGCTGGGCAGCGTGGTGCATGTGGAGCAGAACAGGATCAACTGTGACAAACCCGTTCGTGTCTCGGAGTGGCACGATTACTTTGCCAATGAGAGCTATGCGATGCGAGATGATGGCGTCCGCCTGGTCTGGACAGAGGATAGTCTTAGATGCTATCACAGCGATGGCACCATGATCACGACCAGGACCATTGATGGCTGGGAGAAGGGTGTCATCGAGGATGACATTGATAGACAGATCAGTTCAAGCAGCTCGCACAAGAAATTCGACTTTGTTGCTCAAGAATCGGTAAGTCTCAGTCTTTATAATAAATAAATTATGTAAGTGTTTATTATTTATTAAATATATATTTAAGAATGTCGATTCTTAATCACCAATTTCAAAATATAATACATATAAAATATATTTAAAAAGAAAATCATTCGATTTTTAACTAAAATCTTATTTATTACAGCTTTTATTTATATAAATTGTTTTGTATTTTGATGCATTCTCTTTTTAATTAAATTATTTTTTATTTGACAATTTAGACTCTTAAAATTATGATAATTATTGCTTATCACACAGAATATAATGTATATAAATGTCACTGACGACTTGAGAGTAGCCGATGATATTATTCGGATGTCGAAGATCAGCGCTATATCTGCACCTGTCTCAACTTATGTGAGACAGGAGTATCTGCCGGAAGCGGAAGTGGAGGATGTTGAGGCATATGACTACAGCTTCGCAACCTACACTTCCGACAGCCATCAGATGCAGCACAAGCTGTACGCCAGCACCCAATTCAATTTCACCCACATCAATGGGGGGGATGACCTCAAGGTGATCATGACAAAGGTCACAGCAGTCGATAATCTTGAATTTTGCATTTATTCATTGCCAACCGTCGAGTTCAATTCGCCAACTCGCCATGAATCGCTGGCAGAGCAGCGCAATCTGGATAATCATTATGAGTCGCTGTCATCGGACGCCGATTCGGATAAGTGGACACATCGTAGGAGGAGCAGTGAGTCCGCTCTACCCCGGATCAAGTTAAATCCAGGCTATGTCGTCGATATCAATGCCTCCAATCTGAAGCTGACCGTGCAAGAGGAGCACATTGAGCTCAATGCCCAATTGAGGAAGCTTGGCTGTGATGGATGTGTCCATGTGGTGCGGTAAGTGCAATTGGCAATCCAGATACGCACTCCTCTACTAAATATGCTCGCCTCCTTGCCACTTGCAACAGCGACAATATTCAACTGAAGACGGACTTCAACAAAAGCCTTTCAATCGTCTTTCGCAACTGGGTCGAAGTGTTTCAGCAGTTTATAAATTGTTTCTGCCCCAAATGGCGAACCACTTACTTTGTGGAGTGCCTTACGGATGACTGTCGTCAGAAGGGTAAGATTGGAACTGTACATATATATATATATAAATATATATGTATATATATAGTTGGGGAGTTCGATTTTGTAGACCAGTTTACTGTGAACAGTGAAAAAAGATTGTATTTTATTCGCTTAAGAAATTTTGTAAGGCAGTTTTTATGAATTTTAAAAGTTAACTTCTCACTTCAATCAAAGTAGATAATTTTAATGATTTTCAGCAATTAAAATATATAATTTTTTAGGCATAGAACTGTTAAAGGCCGTGCCCGACCTGGGCAAATATAATTTTTGTGCTGGCAACTATTTTATTGATCCGGAGGAGGTGAAATCCATCAATGAACGTTTGTTCAGCCATTTAGATTATTACAAAGAAGACATGGCCAAGTTTCCGCGTTTTGCCACAGCTAAGAAAATCCACGATGTAAAGTTTCCCAAAGTGCTGAACACCAGGTAACTAAATGATGTATATATATATCTATATATATCACATTATAATATTTAGGATATTCTTGGAGATACCCGCTCAGTTGGCCTATACGGATCGCATACATTTGTTCACTTATCCATTTGACAAGATAAAGTTTAGAAAACTGAAGCACCGCTTCAACGAGTAAGTAAAATCTAATCTAATTTATATTTGATTTAATTATAATTTTTGCAGGGCGACACTTTTCCACTTGCATCCGCATCTGCGGAGTCTCATCCAAGCCGAGATCAGCGCGCGCAGCTGGCGAAATCGCCACATGGAGAACAAGCGTCGCCTGTTTCTGGACCAGCAGCGTCTCAGTCTCTATACGGCGATGCTCCGGCACAAGGTGTATCCGAATTACTTCCAGTTCAAGGATCAGTACTCGTATCATGTGCGCAACATCGACTTCTTCGAGTTCATGGCCTCAAAGTGCAGCGACAAGGCCTGGCCAGAGCCAGAGCCCGAACCAGAGCTGAGTGAGGCGCCTCAGCAAGCGGCAGCTAGCAAGGAGCAAAAAGCTCGGCGCAAGAAGTGTTTGTGTCCCAAATATGAAAAATCCCTACAATAGGCATATTTTCTGTATTTCCCAGCATATCAGTTGAAATATACATTTTAAGAAGTCTCTGACAACGTGTGACATCCAATACAGTGGAGACTTGATATAAGTTCTTATATAAATTGGAGTTTTTATTATCTTTCTTCTTTTAAAAATCCTGAGGAGGAAATGCAAACAAATGTTTGCCTAAAAATAACAGCCACATTTAGCTGCGCTGTTTTTCTGTTCTTCCCGTCTGGTCACTTGTTAATAAAGCCCTCTTTTTATTTATGTATTTATTAGGGTTCTTAATAAAACAAAAATAAAAATAACGACTTAACTTCAAATCAAACAAACGTTTTTTTACTGATGTGGCAGCTCTACTGCACCAGCGCTAGTGTGACCTTATTGTATTTAAGAAAAATATGCCAAGCTGTTAAGTTATCATAGACAATAAGTACGCCACTGTTAGTTTATATGTCGCAGTTGAACGCGCCGCAAAACTAATGAGAAATTAGAATTCAATTAGAGTGCACGCGAGCGTCAAGCCAGTCGCAACGATCAATCAATGTATTCATTTTAGTTCGTTATCAATTGCAAGTGTGAAACAGAAAGCCGCTGAACAATAACAACAATGCAGATACGCCGGCAAATGAGCAGCAACAACAACAACATTAGCAGTACAACTTTTTGGCTGCTTTTGCTGCTGGTCACCTGTTTGGGTGAGTAATTTGCTAAGAATGTAGAAAGCTGGAGTTGAATGAACTTATTGTAACTCACGCACGCACTCACTTACTCACGCACGCACGCACGCACGAGCACGCATAGCATATAGCTGGAAACAGTAATAACATTCACACACACATGCACACTTACAGAGCGGGAGAGAGACGACAGCTGATTTAGCAGCAGCGACTTGTTGATAACCTCTTGACTTGAGCTTAAGGCAGCTACACTTAAGCCTCGACATGTGAAAGTTCCGTTGCTAATGACGTGTACCGTTTATCATCTCTTTCTCTCTCACTCTCTTGCAGCTGCAGCAAGCGCCTCTTTGATACCAGCCCGCTCTCAGCAGCATTTTGAGCTTTTGAGTAAAGTGAGCCTGGAACCGCTCAATGCCTTGCAGCCGGAAGAGGATGTCAGCTACAGCTTTCGCACAAATCTTAAAGTGAACTCTGTGTGGAGCCGGGCGGAAGATCAGCTGCTTGAGATCTACTTCAGTGAGAGCAGCGTCAGCACAGCCGGCAAAACGAACAAAGCTCAGCTCAAGCAACGGCAGATTGACAGTCTGCCTGACAGGCCCTTTTACATAGCACTCGTCAAGGGCCAGCCACAACAGTTGATTGCGCACACTTCGCGGGATCAGTCGCTGCTCAATTTGGAGCGCGCCATTGCCTCGCTACTCCAGCTGCGTTACTCCAGCAGCAGCAGCGACAATGCTAACAATGAACTCGATGTCTCTGGGCATTGTCGTGTGCGTTATCAGATGAAATCCTCCACTCGCATTGAGAAAACGAAAAGCGATTGCGCTCTGTGGGATTTGCGTGTCAACTATCACCCCGAGCCCGCTTTGTGCATTGACCAACACTCGGAGGAGCGTATCAACTACGAACTGACGCCAGATGGCGCTCTACTCCGTGCCAATTCTTTGGAAACGCATCGATTGACGCTTGCCGCCAAACCAGATGCAGGCAGTTTGGTGCGTAGCGAGCTGCGTCTGCAACATGTGGCACTGGGCGAGGAGGAGGAACCCCAACAGTTGGAGCAACCCACGCTGCAGGCGGCCATTGATAGTCTGCTCGAATGGTATCGCGTCTTCGACCTGGAGGCCGATGTCGATAGCGTCATCAGTGAGCTGAAAGGGCAAACGGTAAGCAAATGGATTTTGATTTTCATTAAGAAACAATGTTTGTATGTATATATATATTTATATATAATATCTCTTTTCCATCTTCATCTACAGCTGCGCGAGCAATTTGAGCGTAGCGTTGACCAGCTGCAATTGGAGCACATTGGCAAATCCTCGCTAGCTTTGGCTTACGCCCAACTGTTGCCACTGGCGCGACTCACCAAGCAGTTACAATTCGAGGAATTGCTGCAATCGCAGCCCAAACTCGCTGCCCAACTGATGGATCTACTGGGCGCTGTGCAAACTGGCGAAGCGCACAATGCCAGCTTTGGCCACTTCTACAAGGGAGCAGAGACGACGCCAGAGTCACTCGAGCTGCTTGAGAAGTATTTGCAATCCCTTGCAGTGGGCACTCATCCGGATCGCAGCATCCTCGAGCATCTCTTTGACTGGCTCCAGCAGCCACTGGCGCATAACAAACAAGCCTCGCTCAGGGACAGTGTGCTCCAAACGCTGGCGACGCTCACGCGGCACAGTGGCTTCGATTTGAATGATTCGCTGCTGCAGCAGATACGCAATCATCTTCTGGAAGGACTCGCCAACTCCAATGAAGACGACACACGCTACATTCGCGCCCTACAGAATCTGAGGGATCCCCAGACAATCGATGCCCTGCTGCAGAAGGCAATGATTGCCACGCATCCCAAGCTATCAGTGGCTTCGCTGCAGGCACTCAAATCCTTTCCAGCGCAGAGCTTTTCCACATCGCATCGCCAGCTGCTTGAGAGCATTTTCTATCAGCGTCTGCAACGCTTTGATAGCTCTGCTCGCACCTTGGCCTTGGACATCTTTGTGGGCATGCGTCCCAGCGACGAGCAGTTGGTCCAATTGCTCGACTATTTGGCCTCCACGGATCGCCAGTTTGAGATGAAGTCCTATGTGCTGCAGAAGCTGCGTATGCTCGCCGACATTTGTCCACGTTTCCGCGGCATGTTCAAGTCGGCTCTGGGCAGGCGTGCGCACATCAACAACTACAATGTCCTGGCACAGAAAGGTGACCAAATCTATAAATATATACCAGGATTATAAATTGTAACCGATCACTTATCCATTCAAACAGGACTGACCACTGTGCTGACCCGCCAACTCTCGCGTTGGCCCGCCTTCAATGAGTCGCTGCTGAGTATCCAGGAAGTGAATCAGGGCATCCTCAAGCGTGGCTCTGTCGAGTTCCTTCTGCACGCCGGTCGCGCTGAGGCGAGCAGCTTTAAGCTGGGCATCTACACAGCCGGACTGGGCGCCATTGTGGGCGATGGCGATGCAGATGGGGATGGCAACGATCAAATACCCCCAGATGATGAGCTGGACAGCGAGGAGACAGTCACCGCTGGCATGGAGATTAGTGTGCAGGGCGCCCAACTCCGGCCGCTGGTCTTCTTCAATGGCCAAACAGAGCTGATGGGTCACGTGTGGGGCGGCACTGCATCGGAGCCGACGCCCGCCTATCAGGCGACCACTCTGGCCCATGATCATGAGCATTACATTGTGCTCGCATCGGGTGCAACACTCCACTGGCGTGTCCTCGGCGCCCGAAGCGTCGATCTCAATGGCAAAGTGGGTTTCAGCCTGTGGAATCGCAATGCCCAAACCGAAATTCAGCAAAAGTGAGTTGAAAATTCGAATGCATTATATTAAATAAAACTTATCCTTGCATATTCCTTGCAGTACTGGCAGTGCTGTTGTCTCCCACCTGGCTGTGGGCTTCACCTATGCCAAACTGGTGCAGGATTTGACGCTAAGGCACGAGCCAAAGCTGAGCCTGCAGGCGGATCTTGACTTTTACAGCGGCATCAAGCTCTGCATGCAGCTGCAGCGACCCGAACAGCAACTAACGTATGTATCTGTATATATACTATATATATATATATATAATATATTCTCTAATTTAATTTACAGGCAATCAAATACTCGCTCCGTTTATCTGCAGTCCGTGGAGAAGACGTACGCAAAGCATTTGCGTTCCACGTGGACGCATAAAACTGCTGGTTGCACTTTTGTTTTGAATCAAAAGAATAATGAGATGTGCAACCTGATATTTTCCTGAGATTAAAATCGCATTTATCTATATCTATACACATATACTTTCATAATTCATAATTAATTGATGAGATTAAGACTCCAATTTAGAGATTATTAAATTTATTGTTATTAAAGCTGAATTTAAATTGCGCGCCTTTAGCTGTGCAGTGCTGCACAGCACGGAATTCATGGTACACGCTTCAATCAGGGCGTCAGTGTTGCATAACATCGCGAGGAGTACAGTTGACATTACGATGTTAACGTAACTTTAACAGTAGAGCTGCGCGAGTGACTGAAACATTTTTGTTATTTTTATATTGTATATTAACAAAATAAAATCGATTTTGTACTATCATTAAAACTATATTTGAAACTAGTTGCGTTGAGATTTTAGATTTGCACAATCACGATTCATCACGGTGACACTGAGTGTAACATTTCTACAGCCACTTTTTAGCTCTGTTAACAAACAGCTGCGCTATATGAGAGTCTGTTAAGTTATCTGTTGGTTTACATTTGCTTGTGTCGCGGGCATTTATTAATTTGTTGCAAAAAAATAACAAATAATTAAAGAAAATCGCAACAAATATGCAGCAGCTTGTGTGATAAAAGACCTGAGAGGTAAACACAATGTGAACAAATGTCGTTTTTGGCTGCCTCTAAACAAAATTAGGCCAAATTGTGTCGCTTTTCTAATGTTCGTATGAGCAAGCGTGTTTATATATGAGTGTGTGTGTGTGTGTGTCTGTGGAGGCCTGTCCGCACACACACACACTCACACACACACTTGTAAACATTGCACAGTCCCTAGATTTTTTTCACTTTAGTTTTCGTATGGGAAAAGTACGTAAATTTTTTCGCTAAATATAAAATTCCGTTTGATTTATTTGTTTATTTTAACTATTTGTCAACTATAAAAAGCGTTAACAAAAAAAATTCACACCGTCAGTGACAACTCTCGAGGCGATTATTTATAAAGCCAAGTGCTAACTAAATGCTTAACACAATTAAAATGCTCGCAATATTATTGCACAAAAGATTTTAATTTTTCGCCCAGTCAATAACAACGCCTATGCACAGTGAAAGAGCGAGCGGGAGAGAGAGAGAGAGAGCGCTGTATTGTTGTTGTTTTTGTGACGTGTTACGTTTTTTTCGTCCGTTTGAGTATTTTTATGATTGTGTGTGTGGGAATTTACGTTGCGTGAAGTTGCAATAAAAATCGAAATAAAAACCACGTGTGAAGAGCATGTGTTGCAATTTGTGCATCGAGCAAATATTTGGCATTTATTTGGTATTCACAATACACAACGAGAGCGAGCAGTGCGCCAATAAAAACAATGAAGAGTGTTTTGCTGTTGCCGTCAAAACTAATCAGCCGGTAAATTTCTGCACACACATTTTAAGAAAATAAAATCACCCACACATGTGCAGCGCTAAGTTCTCCAGGCCAGAGAGGGATGGGTCGCACACGCACACGCTCACTTACGCAATTTTGGCGCTCTTGAAACCTCGCTCACTCTCTCGCTTGCTCTCACTCTCCCGTAACGGTATCAACTGTATGCTCGCTCGCGCCACATTCGTCGGCTGCTGCCCATAACAATTCAGTTGATTTTTAACGCTCGCATCGCAAGGTAGTCGCCGCACTTGCGGCAGTCTCTTGTTTTGTGTGAAATAAAAGGCCCCAACGTGCATACATTTCATAAAAACCAATAAGAAAGAAAAACAAAAACAAAAATAGTTAGCAAGCAGCCAAACAAGAACAGCAGCAAATCTGTTGTGCTGTGACAGCCATTAAAATTCTTTCCTTTAACCATATTCTCTGACATAGTTGAATTTACCTGTGAAAGTGAAAACGCAAACGAACGAGGCAAGCAAAACAAAACGCGTGTGTGCAAGCAGCAGCAGCAGCAGCAAAATATAAAAAAGGAATCTGAAAAAAAACAGACGTCTAACAGAGTGTGTAAGTGAGAGCAAGAGAGAGAGAGAACGAAAGGGCAGCTTAAGAACCCAAAACATAACGAAAACAATTATCGACAACTGCAGCACAGCAGCAGCAGGCAAGAAAGCGAGAGAAGCAGACGACGAAAAGAAACGAGAATAACAAACAACAAGCAACATACAAAATTAAGCAGAGGTAAGTGCATCATCTGCTCTCTCGTTTGCACCAATTGCAACTACAAAATTGTATTGCTGACCTTTTCTATGACTCAGTTCGCAACGTGTTGTGTTTGTTTCCGTACAACAATTTTAACACCGTTTCCAATGACTCAATCGGCAATGTTCTGATCATAAATGACTGACTGCTTATCGGGACTTTTGGTACTTTTTTTTTTCTTACCTCTTACATTTATTTTTGTCATAGTGTGTCTAAATGGTAATGATTAGATAGACAGGCCCAAAGATTCCAACCTTGCACAATTTACGACATTTGTTTTTGATCTTTGAGCGAAATCTTTGGCCAAATATTTGTTTTACGATTAGATGGGAGCTTTAAATTATGCGTGAAATAAAGATGGGCCCGCTAATAATGACATAAACATTTAGATTGTGCTCGATAAAACAGTGGGCGCTCAAATTAGTAAACAGTGCTGATTGAAATTGTGACGTCAACTGAATATAAATATTTAGCAACAATTAAATTAAATCTCCAAGTAATTAAATGAGTTTTCAAGTTGATATAGATAGACATTTTTATTTAAAATTATTTTCGCATTTAAAAATGAACATTTTCTATTTTAAAGTGATTTTCCTAGAAAATTTAAACATTTAAGCCTTTTTATTTATCTATGTTCTTATTGCCTTTAGTAACAAATTAAGTATATGAGAACGAATCTAATACTTTAATTACAATTGATTTTCAGCTGTTCACTATATTGAGGTCTTATGGTAGCTTACAAACCTTACGCTATCTTTGCGAAATAAGCTACATGCTTCTAATTAGAAGAAAAAAACATGATACATACGTATTTGTATGAGATATACGGACCTATCTATATGCTAGGATTTGTTTCACTTATATGACTCACAAATCACAGTTTACTTATCTATGTCGAAATTGGAATCGTTTTTTCATAAACTTTTCTTTGAGTTGAAAACAAAATTGTCAAACATGAACTCCCACACACACACACCCAACTTCAGCTGAACTCGTAAAGATTGCACTCTTAAATATTTGCTTCCCCTCAACTAATTCCAGAATTGCTTTGAGTTCGTATGAACTTTGCCTAAAAGATTCTTAGAAAATGGGGGAAGAAACGTAAAGTATGCTGAAGTCAATTTCTTTTGCAAATAACTGGGCTTTATCTTATCTGCGCCGACGACCCAATTAAGCCATTTAGCAAGTTACGGCCAAGCAGGGATATACATGTTTATGTTAATATATGTGAATATGCAAAGAAAATGTTTGGCAAGCAGACAGAAACCTTATCTGAATAGCATTGACTGGCGCATAGACAAATTATGTATTGCGTAGCTGTCACAAATGACCATTGAATCATGTGCTCAACTCGTAAAAAAAAACTAAAAATTTAATGGAAAATACATACTGTGAAATGATTGAATAGGGTATAATGAAGCTGAGCAAAAGTAGGTGACAGGCAGAAGGAAGCATATCCCACAACATAACTTATATATATTCCTGATCAGCATCAAAAGCCGATTGAGACATTGTTGTATGTCTGTCTGAACAAACCGATATCAGAGACTATAAGAACTAGTTTTATTTGCAATGTAATATGCCCTGAAATAAGCATATGCCATTAATTAATCGAAGCGGGCTTCAAAATGGACAACACTTGCATTTTTGCTTATTTTTACCTGCTTACATTTAGGTGTGCGAAACAGGAAGCTGTATTTTAATCGAGTCAATACTTTCAACAGCTAGGTAAAAGGCATCTACTAGTCGAGTACTCTCTTGCCTAAAGCCTTCTTACTTGCTTTGTATAAAGGGTATCTTCTGGTCGAGCACTCTCTTGTCTAAAGCCTTCTTTTATATACCTCTGAACGTGGTGGTGGTCCAGTCGCTCACGTGAGTTAGCCGCCAAACGACTTTTAAACGATTTTTTTTTGGGCGTCCATTTCGTTAATGCTTTCAAAAATACACATGAGGCTGTAAGCAATCAATTGCAAAAATATAGCAATTACCGATACGATTTCGGTCAAGCGCATAATAAATAGTTTATAGTCTACACAAACAACACGAACATAAGATGCTCTAACAAAGAGTATAGTCATTTTAAGATTGTATACAAAATAAAACTTCATTGAAATATGTGCCACTATTTGCAGGGTGTTTAGTTGACTCGAGATCCAGATTTAAAAAACAATGGGTGTTTCACCCTTTCAAATTTTCCACAGTCTCTAGCTTTTATCTTTAAGTCGTTACACATTTCGTGTCAAAATTGAAATATCCATGCAAAAGTGGGTATACACTTGAAATGCCGAATCGAATCAATCTCCAATCGCGAATTGGTGATTTGTGTACGTGCCTATAACCCGATGACAAACATGCGTCTATCGTTTTGACTTGTGCTGTGATTCATCGTGGTATCTTAGAAGCAATCAAGCAAAAAGTCCGCTTACAAATCACAAATTGAGACTGCGTCAGAGTTGAATTTGTGTTAACTTTAGTTTATTTGTTGTTGTACAAAGTTTTTTTTGACTAGAAGCATTTGCCGGTTCGTTCAACTTTAGTGGCTGAACTTTATCTATTTGTAGATTTGTAACAGAATCGACCAACTAACCCAATGAAAAACTCACCCCAAAAAGAAAAAAAAAAAAAACACTTTGGGTGTTTGTGTGCGTGTGTGGCTGACAGGTTAATGTTTTTTCTTTCACAAAATCAATAAGTTTTATTTGAGTTACCATTTTGCTGTGGTTATTGTTGTTGCTTTTCCTTTTGGGTTGCCTTAAATTGCTGAGCTGTTCGCGTTATTTATAGGTGATAGACCCGTGCAGCGTGCCGCTTGACCTGTCACGGCATTTGCCTGCTTGTTTGTGCTTGTTAGCTGTATTAAATTAATATTAATGAAGGTACGATTTTTGTACTCCACACAAACCACTATGTAGTGCCATAAATTTGATTCTTGTTTGCTTTGTGATTTCCTAGAGGTTTAACTTGTGTAACCTTTACAAAAAATATATAAATAAAATCAACCCTTTTGCAGCGGTTACGATTTAATTGTTGCATATTGCGTAATTTATTTAAACTTAAGCGTATTTAAGCTTCGCTAATTTTGAATCATATTTCTGACTTTTTTTTGGGATTCACCAGTGCAAAACATAAAAATCGTTGTCGTTTTTTATAATCACCTGGCCATAAACTGGATAATAATTCATTCGGTGTTGTGTAATGCATTTAATCTATGTCTATATAGATTACATTTGATTGCCTACTTTATTTATGATATACATATATATTTTGCGTTGCTTAACGACTTTGATTCTAGATTACAGTTTTGTGTTCGCGATACTCATTTTTTTTTTGGTATGTGCATTTATCGCTTTTAATTGAAATGTTCAGGCTTACATTGATTGAATTTAATAATGTATATATATATATTTAAGCGGGTTTGCCAACTGCATTATCATTTTATTCGCTGCGATTTAGCATATCAGTTACAAAATGGTGTGGATTTGGTTATCCATTTTAAATTATGAGTACATTATTTAATTGAGTTGTACTCTTTTATAAAACTGACTGCCTTTATCCACATTTATCCACGCTTATTTAATGTAAGCAACATGCAATTTAATTCAACTTTAATTGAGATGCACCGATTGGCGAACTATTGCAACTTTATCCACACCTATCCATTATTATGTAACAAGATCGTGATGGTTCTTTTTTTTTTGTTATTGTTTATTTTTGATCACATGATCGAATTACTGCTGAGACATAAACTTTATGCAGGCTTTGAATTGAAATTAAAAAAAAAAAAACAAAACCCCACACGCTCATAAATCCTAATCATATTTATCAAATCAAGTATGACTTATGTCTGTGTGTGGGAGTGTGTCTGTGTGTGGGGAAGTGTGTGCGGCTCAAGTGTGTTAATAACAACGCGACAGAACAACAAAAATCATACGCCCACAATATCCTATAGCGAGAAAGCTGAAAGTAAATATGAAACAACAACAGTAACAATGACAATAAAAATATTTCTGCATATATATAACATACATATCCATATGTATATGCATATATATATAAATACATAGATATGTATGCCCCGGCGCGTGAGATATCAGACAATCAATTGTCTGGCTCTGGTCCGGCTCTGGTCCGGCTCTGGTTGGGCTCTGATGTGGGTAATTGTGCGGCATTAATTTGTGCAAGTAATTTCATTGAGAGTTCTCCGACAACTGCAAAAGTAAACGTTATTCGTTATTGCCAATACAAATGCACACACATATATATATCTATATATGTATGCACTCATCATCATCATATCGTACATATTGTGTCTGCTCAGTTAATGAATAAACGTTAATAACTACACAGACGACATATGTACATATGTTTTTTAGTAAATATTTTTACATTTTGCCTTGATTCAATAACCTTGATTGTGTTTGTTTGTTTGTTGTGTTTTGCGTATGTTGCAAAGGTTATCGGAACTTGTGTTCGTTAGTCGCGGATAAGTTGCTAATTTCTGATATCTATGTTAATTATGATTGTACTAATTTTTGGGGGCGTCTCTGTTCAACCACAAGTTCCCACAGTGTCTGCGTTGATTAAATGACGCCAAAAAAATGTACTATTCGTGCATAACACTGAGTAAGTGACAACAATAAACTTGAGAGCAATTGTCTTATTTCTTATCCGCCCTTATACGTGTTGTAATGCCAAGTCGGATAAGTTGAAAATATTTGATAAATGCCTATATATAGTTTTTATTTCTAACTCCAGGTAAGCTGTAGTCAAACATTTTAATATTCTTTATCTATTTAAACTAAACTATAATCTGTGCTTGTTAATTTGACCGGATAAGCTGTGTCTGCTTGATAGGTGTTTTATAAGCCCAATTTGCTACAATTTGCGATTATGTTATCTGCTGTTGCGTAGCTAAGTTGTAATTGACTTAAGTGATTGCGCTAGAAATGTCATGAACTGTTGTCATTTATGCACCACCG